CGCGTTTTCACCCAATGCCGGGCCCCGTGACCATTATAGATCGATCCAGCTCGAAAGATGCCGCGGAAAAAAACGGGGTCTCGGGCTCGTCGTGGCTGTGCGATGTTGCAACTTGTTTTGGATACAGGGGGGGGCACACATGGATGCGAGGGAGGGGTGTATCTGGCCTTGCTGAGTAGGCGGGGGAGGTGCAGGGCGAGGATGGCGTCATGTTGCGATTGGTTCAGAATGCCTTCTGGGGATTTTGGAAAACGATCGCGGCCTTTTGCTCAGTGTGTCGCGGCGGCCGCCCTGCCGACACGCTGCGCTGCACACAACTGGTCGTGATGGCCGGCATCATCAAAACCCTCATCATCATACTCGTCATCGTCATCGCCATCGTCATCCTTAGTTTACGCGCTCCAGAAAGGCGTTCCCGGAACACGTGCAATGGGGGCTGTCGGGCAGATCCATCATTCATCATCATCATCATCATCATCATCATCATCATCATCATCATCATCATCATCAACATCATCATCATCGTCGTCATCATCAGCAGCATCAGCATGGTCATCATCATCGTCAGCATGGTCATCACCACCACCATCACCATCGTCATCATCGTCATCATCATCATCATCATCATAGTTATCATCATTATCATCATCATCATCATCCTCCTCCTCATCATCATCATATCAATAATCATCATCATCATCATCATCATCATCATCATCATCATCATCATCATCATCATCATCATCATCATCATCATCATCATCATCATCATCATCATCATCATCATCATCTCAATCATCTCAATCATCATCATCGTCGTCGCCATCATGGTCGAAGTCATTTTTCGTCCGTGATGGATCTGTTCTGGGCCGTCATGGGGGGCTTTGGGCGTGAGTGGGCTTTCATGGGGGTGTCTCGGGGCTTGTGGGGGCTGTCTGGGGAGCCTCGCGGGGCCCTCTTGGGCAGTCGTGGGGTCCTCTGGGGTCGCCTCGGGGCCATCTTCGGCCGTCTTGAGGCGCTCTCGGGAGGGTTGCAGGGGGGGCCTCTCTGATGCCATCTGGGGCTTTGGGAGGGCCCTCTTGAGGCTATCTCGAGCTTTTGTCGAGCCGTGTTAGAACGTCCTGGGTCGTCTCAGAGCGAAGTGGGAGGCGTCTGGGGTCGCTCCGGAGTACGCCAGAGGTGGACACGCGCACACGAGAAGATCTGGCAAACAACCCAAGTGAAATGCATGGCCCTGGGGGCCCTCTTGGCAGGTTTTCGGCGGCTTCGTGGGGCGCTTTGGATGCATCCTGGGCTGTCTGGAGGCTGTCTTGGGCGTCTTTGGACGCTGTTTTGGCAAGGAGGGGCTCCCTGGATCGATTTGGGCAGGTCTGGGGCTGGGTGGCGGCCTCGTGGGAGGTCTGGTCCTATGGGCCTGTTGTTGAACTGTGTTGGAAGGTTCCTGGGCAGTCTCAGAGCGAACTCGAAGGCGTCTGGGGCCGTTTCGGATTGCTCCGGCACTGGACAAGCGCACGCGCGAAAATGCAGGAACAAGCCTGTAAATTCACAACATTTGGACCTTGGGGCCTCTCGGACGGGTTTTCGGTGCCTTCTTGGGGCGTCTTGGAGGCATCCTCGGCTGTCTAGACGCTGTCTCGGGTCGCTACTGTGGTGAACGGGGGCGTCTCTGGGCTTCTCCGGGGCGGCTCCTGGAGCCCGGGGCACCCATGGCGACGCGAGGCAACTGGCAGGGCGCCCCTCCGGGACGACTTCCGGAGGCCCGGGGCAGCCATGGCGACGCGAGGCGGCTGGCAGGGTCCCCCCCCCCCCCCCTGTGGCCCGGTATAATCTAATCCATGTATGTATATATATATATATATATATATATATATATATAGGTGTGCATATGTATATATATATACACCTATATATATATATATGTGTAGATGTATATGTGCATGTAAATGTGTATGTGTTTGTAAATGTTTGTGTATTTATCTATATATATATATACATATATATATATATATAAATATGTATATATGCATACCAATCGTATGAGAGTCCAACCTTGGCACCACATCCTGGGACCTCCAGCGGCCGTTCGTGACGATCCGGGCAAACCTGAGAAAGCCATCGTCGAGGCGCAGCTGCCGCCAAGCATGCCTGGGCGGGAAAAACTTGGAAAACCAAAGGGAACCTGCGAAACCCTGTGCAGTCCCAGACACTCTCCAGTATGATCTTTTCAGAGAGAGGCCCCAGAGGTTCCGACCCCTTTCCCCGGGGCCGGTTTTTCGTCCCAGATAGCAAGGATTCATGGTCCCAGAGCCCGGTAACGGGCCCCGCGGAGACCGAAAACGTAGAAACACGCTGGGATTGAAAACTTCTTCCCTCGGAGATCCGGCGGCCGTTCGCCGTCGACCTGTCTGGAGCCCGTGTGGTGTGATCATTTGCGAGAACGCACGTGAGCTGCCCCGCTCCCCCCTCCCGATCCCTCTGCTGGTGAGGTCACGATTTGCGACGGCGCCGCGCAGAATCAAACATTCCCCGGCAGCGCCAGCGCGATTCGGTGACGTGACTGGCCCCCTCCCCCCCCCTCCTCCCCTCCTTCGGCCGCACCCGCTAGCGCCAGGGGGACAACAATTGTCGCCTGGCTGGGTGCTCTCTCGGTGCCCGGCCGCTTCGGAAAGAGAGGGCCCAGCCGGCCCGCTGCGCTGCCCCAGGCGCGCGCCTTGGCCACGCTCCGCATCGTCAAGGCCTCGGGCGGCCCCAGCCCCCCGGGCCGACCAGCCTCCAGAGCACACGTTGTAGCAGTGGTTCCCAGAGGGCCTTTTACGCGGGACCAAAGCAAGTTTACTTGCACGGCAGTTCGCACTCCTCCCGACGACCGCCGCCTTTGCAGGCTGCACTGGGCCGAAAGGGCGTGCAAGTGAGTTTCCGAGTTGCGTGAAGTAAAGACTTTTTTTCGGGCCTGCCCCCCTCCCCCCTCCATGCAAATAAACTGACCGAACCCTGAAGAAGAGACCATTATCCACTTGCGGTGCAGCTGTTTCTGGACCACTTCCTGGGGACGGGCTCATCGTCCTAGGCCGTCCTTTGACGGTGCGAGGGCCCGGCCAGGATTCCCGAAGGGCGACGGATAATGGGTTGCCTGAAATCGGCTTTCGGGAGCATTGCTCAATCAAAACTGCGAACCGCCCGTCGTGATCTTTTTGCAGCGTGAGGATGCCAGCATCGGGCCGTCCACTCCTCCACCTCGTCTTCCTCCTCCACCAACTCCGCTCCAAAGCGGTCGTCCGCCGCGGGACTCTTGCGGCTGCCGTCCTCTGGGCTGCCTCTTGGGGGCCTTGCTGCGGGGTCCCTGCGTGGGTACCCCACCGGGGGCCAAATTTGGATCCTCGTGGGGCAAAACTTGCGGACCTCTGGGGGAACCTTCTCCTCCCCCCTCCTCCACGCTTGGCGAAACTAGGCTCGACGCCTTCTCGCGCTGTTGTAACCTAGCCTTCTCCTCGCCCCCCGCGCGCGCGCCTCCCCCCACGCGCGCGGGGTGGTTTAGCTACTCGTCGGCCTGGCCAGCCTCCTTTTAGGGGGCGTTGGATACCACTTGGCGCCGCTCTGCTTTCTCATCCTCTTATCCCTCTGGTCCCTCGTCCTCCCACGTCCTCTCACGTCCTCCCACGTCCACCCACGTCCTCCCGTATCCCCACGCATCCCTCCCACGTCCACCTCCCGCTGCTCCTCCTGCAGCATCCTCGTATACCCGCGCCCCTCTTCTCCCGCCGCCTCCTCTCCGCCTCTGCCCTCCCTCCCTCCGCGTCGGCCACCGCAAGGTTGAGCAGTTTCCTGGCGTGACTCTTGACTGAGCCTGGCCGAGGCCCATGAGGCAACCACGGCAATCGTAACCGTCCTTTCCTGTGTAATGCGTTGAGCACAATCCAGTGGACGTCGCATGATATCTTGGTTGAAGTAGGTCCACGCACATATGTTGGTGGAGTGGGTTCTCGATCGCTAGCTTCCTGTGCGATGCCGGCACACTACGTTAGCATGCCTCGGCTGCGCCATTCCGTCGCTGCCCCTCTCCTGGGATCGGGCACGTGCCGGACCGGCCTGTTGCCCCATGGCAGCTCTGGTCTGGATGGGGCCGGTCGCCCATCCTCGTTCATATGGGTGATGGGCATATTTTCCACCACCGCCACCATAAGTTGGAGGGGGAGGGGGTCCTCCTCCTCCTCCTCCTCCTCCTCCTCCTCCACCACCTCCTCCACCTCATCCTCCTCCTCGTCCTCCTCCTCCTCGTCTTCCTCCTCCTTCCCCCCTCCAACTTCTGGTGGTGGTGGTGGTGGAAAACAGGCCCATCTATGGGCGGCGGGCGGAATGAGGGTTACTTCCCGGGCTCTTGGGAACATGAGGGGCGACGATAGGGGGGACTGGCAGAGGGAGGGGAACATCGACCTGGAATCGGCGACGCATCGCCGATAGATCGGCGACAAGCCCCCGACAGCGAATCCGCACCTTCCTGGGCTGGGTGGGCCAATCAGACCCTTTTCGGTGTTCAATGGGCGATTGGGACTCGATGCGTCCCCCCATGAGCCTATACTCCTCCGTTCGTTGCCCCTGACAGCAGAGCAGCTCGGAGCGAGGCACAACGATTGCGCTGATGCCATGACCGACCGACCGGACGCCTCCGCCCTCCTGCACCCGCTGCTGCCTCGGGCCGCCCATCGCCTCGGCCCCGGCGAACAACCCACAAGGTAGGGGGGAGGGGAGGGGGGCCTTCTGAAAAGGGCCCAAGGCGCTCCCACGAGGGCCTCTTGGAAGCTGGGAGGGGTTCCAAGACTCGACCTTTTTCTTCTTAGAGGACACCCCCGCCCTCTCAGGAGGCCCCTCCCGACCTCGCACCAACCCCTTGTGCGCGCCGCCATGGGAGGGAGGAGGGCGGTTGGAGGAGGGATTGGGACCCAACTCCTGGGAGGTCCTCGTGGGAACGATCGAAGACTACACATTGAGCCTGGCTCAAAGTCCACCAAACGACATTAACCCCAAAACGAAGCCAAAGCGAGCGGGTTCAGGCGGGGTTCGCCAGGCTATCAACCACGTCAACTCCAGCGCCGAAGCTAACTTCAACCTTCCAGCAGCTGGCACCTGAATGGAGGAGGAGTGGCGAAGAAAAGATATCGGTGAAAATACATCTGTGGAACTGCCGTGGACGAACCACTTCGCGTGATTCCCTCTGCGCCCAATAAGCTTGAAATATTAAGATGACGACGATGGCGCCGATGCCGGCCGGCATTTTTATTGAACCAGCATGCCTTGAAAAGCGGGGCTGGAAAAAGCTTGAACCCAATATCTCGAACGCAATACCTGCCAAATTGCAGGCTTGGAGGTGGAGGGGGGAATTGGGTTCTTATAGTTCGGGGGCTGTTGTTGCGATGTTCTTCCTTCAGCCGTACGGGAGTGAGTAGACAGGGGAGGAGGGAAGGGTGGATAGCGAGTTTTTCCCAGCTGCGAGAGGGCACGCGCCACCAGACAACAAAAACAGCACCTGGCACTATACAGCCTCGGAGCTCTACAGAAGGGCCAGAATATTCATCGCGGAGATCGGACAGTTCGTGTCCGCATACGTGCTCCCGACACGACCCAGCGACAAGGCCCCGTCTGTACACATCTTCAGACGTCGGCCCTACAACTCGGCACTTCCAGACATTCAAATCTGACGCCCACGGGGTAGCAACGCGGGCGCACGCACGGGCGCAAGGGTAAGCGTCTGCAGTGCCTGCGAGAGCTGAAGAAGAGCAAAGACGGCACAACAATGAGCCCTCGGCCTACGCGCGGATGTCTTGGATCGGCGCTGGGCGCCCCTCCCTGTCACGCGGAGCGCGCCACGGGCGGCGCCGGAGGCGACCCCACGGGGGACACCAGCGCCGATCCAAGAAAGCCGCGCGGAGCTCCCAACATTTTATGTTTATACGTTCATACAGCTCTTCTCCTCATAAAAACTCCCGCAGGCAGCTCTTCGAGAGGAAGAGCCTTCAGCAAGCGCCCACAAACATTTATCGTACATGACCTCTTCGCATCTGGTGCGGGACGTGGGGCATGCTCGCAGCGCGGCCCTTCCCTTCCCTACTGGTCCCTCCCTTCCGCCCCCTCGTGTCCACCTTTCAGACCTCCCCCTTCCTCGTCGCCTCGTGCCCATCATCAACGTCGTCGTCGTCGCCGACATCGTCGTCACCATCATCACTCGCACGCCCGAACCGTGGATCTGGATGCGCAGGGTCTGCACGACAGTGCATCATCAGAGATTATCGCGTAAGATCCGAATGGTTAACTGCACCACGTGGCCTGTTGCCCAGACGCTTCGGGAGGTGGGTGAGATGGTTGCTCGGTCATGGGAGGTTGGCATGTGCGGCGCAGCTAACATGACACTGCATGAGTGCCCCGCGTATTCTGTAAACCACAGTGTGTTCCGAATAGATACAACACAATAACGGCACTACAACGCATAACAGGATTAGGTCTTAGACCCCCCAGTAGATGAACACTCCTAATTGTTTCGTGCCCTTATTGACGGACTGAGGTCCCACCAGCACTGAGAAAGAATTCTTTCTCCGCGGCACCCGCCGCACAACAACAACAACAACAACAACAACAACAACAACAACCACAACGACGACGACGACGACGACGACGACGACGACGAAGACGACTACGATTACGATTGCGACTACAAGTACGATTGCAGCTACGATTGTAATTGCAATCACGACTACGATTACGACTACAATCACGACTACAATGACGACTACAATCACGATTACAACCACGACTACAATCACGACTACGTACACAACCATTGGTTGCTCTTGCAATCCTCATGAGAAGATGCTTTCACGTACTCTCGCGTGTAGGGTAGCCCACAGAAGATGCCCCTGAGAGGGAAGCCCCCTTAACGTTGACCAGCCCGCCGGACTACGATTGCAACTACGACTCCGACTACAACCACTACTGCGATTAGGACTACAATCGCGACTACGGTCACGATTATAGACACGATGGTGTCCAAGACAACAATGACGACTACAGCCACAACCATTGATTCCTACTGCAATCCTCCGGAGAAGATGCTCACACATCCTCTCCTGTGCAGGGTAGCTTACAAGACAAGCGACTAGTCCCTGGGAGAAAGAATCCCCCAACTTGATCCAGCCCACCCAACAATAGAGGGAATCTCATCTCCGCCGCGACGACGACGACGACGACGACGACGACCACGATAACGATCACGAGGAATACCAGAAGGAGGACGAGGAGTAGGAGGAGCAGGAGGAGGATGAGGGGGGAAGGAGGAGGAGGAGGAGGGAGAGGAGGAGGAGGGAGAGGGGCGACCGCCGAAAGAAACAGGGGGTTCAAAACGAAAGACGCCCTCAGGTTAGTGCACATCGAGAAGTGCCACAATCCACTGTTCGGGGTCGACGCAGGCAAACACTTGTCCCAAAACACTGCTTGCACTTGGGATGTCTGCCCTGGCTTGCTCACGGTGATTGGTTGGGCCTTGTTGGTGTCTGGTTGGTGGGCCCAGTGGGCGCCTCGTGGGCACCTCATTGAGGGCGGGTGTGGAGATGTTTCGTTTACCCGGTGTCCGTCTGTGCTTCCTCGTGAGCGCCTCGTGCGCTGGGTGGGTGTGCGTGGCCCTCGCCCGGTGATCGCCCATGGGCGCCGCGTGGGCGCCTCGTGCGCTGGGTGGGTGTGCCGAAGTTTCGCCCGGTGCCCGCCCGAAGCCGGCCGTGGGCGCCGCGTGCGCCGTGCGGCCGCGCAAGCTCTCTCCTCATCCGGAAAGCCCCGACAGGCAGGCTGACTTGAAGCCTGGGGGCCAGGAGAAATGCAAACTGCGGCTGGTCGGCACTGCCGACCCCGTCGGCGTGCGTGAGACGCTGTTGTCCGCTGGAGTCGTCGTCGTCGCCGTCTCCGCTCCCTCCTCAGGCGATCCAGCCAGACGGAGGTCGAGCAACACCACCGTACTTGATTCGAACTTGATTCGAAAGGAGGCCCCTTCCCTTTGATCCCTTCCCTGGCGGGGGGGGGGAGGGGGGGGGCGGGCGTTTGCGGGGGACGTGGGGGAGGGGTAGCAGGGGGTGTCCTGGTGGGGGGGGGCTGGGAAAGGTAGTAGCGGGGAGGGGTCCCGGTGGGGGCCCAAGGGTCGTGACCTCGCCCCCCGCGCGGCCCCCCGGATACAGGGGCAACAGGGAGGTGGTCCCCTTGTGGACAGGGGGGCGCATGACCCTACCCCCGCCTCCCCCATGTGCACAAGGGGACCACCACAACAACCCCTCCAAGACCCCCCCCTCCCCCCGCATCTTCTGTTGCGGAGTACTGCGTGTTGTCCCTCGTGCCTCTTAGAGCCATCAGATCCGCTCCGAGACGGCTGCAAATGGCCACGGAGCTTCCCAAGAAGTCCCCAAGAGGCCCCCCAGCACAGCGCACTAGGCTTCCAAGAGAGCCCCAAGAAGGGCTCCAAAGCGTCAGCGCTGTCGTCGCCGTCGCCGCCGCCGTCGTCGTCGTCGTCGTCGTCGTCGTCGTCGTCGTCGTCGTCCCCTCAAGGTCAGCGGCACCGGCCGCAAGGCCTTCCCAATACAGCAAGCTCCCGCTAAAACGGCATGGGCTCTGGTTATGACGAGGTGTGAAGAATTCAAAATGAGACGGTCTTCGAAGGCAGCGGCACCCTAAAGCCTTCAAAGGTCTTCAATCGTGAACGCCAGCGCCTGTTCCACATGTCACGCAACTTTCAAACCTTGTGCTCCAAAAGACTCGCCTCCGAGTGCCTGCTCCACAAGTCAGAATATGTTTCAAACCTCGTAATCCAGTTAGGCTCGCCGGCCTTTGGTGAGTTTGTCCGATGCTTGCGGTATGTTTGTTGACTTCGGGAAGTGCTCCACATGATTCTGGTACGGTTTGCTCCCATGGTGGTTTTGGTGACCCTGACATGTGCGTCTGGAGATTTGCGTGTATCATACGCGAATGGGCTGCCACCCAAACAAATCAGAGGCACCCATCGACACCAGACGCACTCACCGAGCGGATCAAACACTCCAACCTGACTATATACCCACGAAGCCACCCCAACCCAACCCGAAATATTGGGCCTGCCAATAACCAGTGGGGACACGTTCCGGAACATCGAGAAAACACAGTGGAACATGTACACCCCCCCACCCGAATGGGGCTGTCTGGGACCTTCGGGTTGGGTTGGGGTGGTTGGAGTGGGTACTGACAAACGCACCCGCAGAATATATGAGCTGGCCCTGGCTTCCAATGCTTTGTGTATCTGCGCTCTGCTGGAAGCCTCTGGGTGCTGGTGCCGCTCCTGCTGCTCCTGCGACGCAAGAGGAGGAATGAGGAGGAGGAGTGAGGAGGAGTGAGGAGGAGTGAGGAGTGAGGAGGAGGAGAAGGAGGAGGAGGAGGAGGAGGAGGAGGAGGAGGAGGAGGAGGAGGAGAGGGAGGAGGAGGAGCCCACTCACCAAGAAGAGAGACGAGACGAGGGCAGGCGGACAAGAGAACGAGAAGAGGGCAAAAGTCCGACTCCTCACGCAATTCCCCGCGTCGCGAGGAGGAGGAGGATGAGGAAGAGGAGGAGGAGGAGGAGGAGGGAGGAGGAGGAGGAGGAGGAGGAGGAGGAGGAGGAGGGGGAGGGGGAGGGAGGGGGAGGGGCCGGGGAAGAGGACAAGCTGGGTGCGCTCGGGTCCTATCTGACGTCCTACTCCTCTCTCCCATCCCTTACCATGGCGTAGATCTCCTCTATATTTGCACAATCGGATGTCGAGCAGGGTAATGATCCCGAGAGGGTGCGCGATGCATCGTAGAGCACGTCATAGCAGGGCGTAGAAGAGCACGGCAGAGCGTAGTATATGCGAGCATGGCGTGGCGATGCGTAGTGAAGAATTGCATGACAAAGCATTGCAACGCAAAGAATGGCAGCGCACAGCGGAACAGAACAGAACATGGCCTAGCATGGCGTTGAAGATCAAAGCGTAGCATGGCATAGCATGGCGTGGCACTGCGTAGTCAAGCACTTCACGTCCTAGCATTGCAGCTGAAGGCATGGCATCGCACAGCGGAGCACCACATACCATTTCATTGCATGCCGTGGCATGGCACTGGAAATAATGACGCCAGCGCTGCAGCGGGAGAACGAGTCGGCACGAGCGGAAGCGCGGAAATGAGGCCAGCGCTGCAGCGTGAGCACGATTCGGAGCGAGCGGAAGCCCGAAAATGAGGTCAGCGCTTCAGCGGGAGCAACATGTTGAACAAAAACCCTGGCGAAAACCCAACTCTCGGGAATCATGTGTAAAAAAGAATACGCGGAGGGGGGGCGAACATCTTCTGGACGTCATCAGGGGAGAGAGGAGAGTAGTATTCATATGGTGTAACGGTGGAGGACGAGGAGGAGGAGGAGGAGGAGGGGGAGGAGGAGCGCCAGTACCTTCAGGGGCCGATGTCTGTTTACCCTCGACGCCGCGGCCTCAGCCACCTGTTTGGCCTGGGCGCCTGCGGCGGAGGGGGGAGGTTTGAGAAGTCGTCGGGCATCTTTGCTCGAACGACCTGTAACACTTTGAATTGTTGTGGCACCGTGAGAAGCGATCCCATGAGGAGGAGGAGGAGGAGGAGGAGGAGGAGGAGGAGGAGGAGGAGGAGGAGGAGGAGGAGGAGGAGGAGGAGTGAGGAGTGAGGAGTGAGGAGTGAGGAGGAGTGAGGAGGAGGAGTCATGAACTCAGGCTGCGCGCGCCAAGCGGAGCAGACGGACCTCTTGGGCACTCGCCGTCTCGACAGCCTGCGCCTCGAGGTAGTGCTCGTCCAGCGGATCCACATCGACTGCCGTGTTCGACACCACTGCCAGCCCGAACTCCTCACACTTGTCGATAATCGGCGGCGCTCGAGGAGGGAAGTTCACGTATTCGACGAATGACCTCTTGTCACCCACAAGCCCTGGGCGGTCTTCTGGCAATCTTCGGCGGTCTTCGGACGGTCGTCGGCGGTCTTTGCCGGTTTCCGCGGGTTTCCTGCGCTGTTCGGCGCGACAGCTGGAAAATTGCCGTTCACAAGGGGTCCATGATCGAACACCTACGGAAGTGAGAGGGGGCAGACCTTCCCAGAGGCGGCGGGCCATCTCAGAGGCCCTCCTGGCCTCCTGAGAAGCCCCCCGCGGCCTCGGAGAAGGCTCATATCGCTTCTCAGAAGACCAGAGTCCTTCTGAGACTTCGGCAAAGGCCCGCCCCCCCCCCGCCCCCCTCCCTGGGCCCGCGCCGAGATAAAGGAGATGTACACGTCCCGCTTTCGCACGACCAGCGTGAGGAGCCCCACTCCACCCTGTGCGAGTCTGGCACCCACCGTAGCGGCCAGCGGGGCAACCTGCTGATGATAGAAAGAGAAAAAACGCATTAAACATTAAGTTTTGGCGCTCCGCGCGGATTTCTTGGATCGTCGCTGGACCCCTCACTGGCGCGCGGAGCGCGCCAGGGGCGGCGCCAGAGGCGCCTCCAGGGGGGCCCAGTGTGGATCCAAGGAATACGCGTGGAGCGCCAAAAGTTTATGCTTATGGCTTTTTTTCTTCCTTGAGATGAAAGTACAGCACGTCCGCGCCGATGACGACGTCGAAGCGAGCGCTGGCCTCCAGCCTTGGAGGCTCACCCTCCTCCCCGAAGGTGCACCGCGCCTCGTTGGACCAGTGTCGCGGTGGCCCCCGGCCCGGGCTTCGGGGCTCGTCCGTCTCCCAAAGGTGCCACCGGATCTGCACGGGGTCTCCCGCGGTTCCCCAAGACGGTGGAGGAAGAAAAAAACAGCACGAGCATGAACTTGCGGAGATCTGCGGGGATCTCTTGGGTCGGCGCTGGACCCCCTCCCTCGCTCGCGGAGCGCGCCAGGAAGGCCGGGCGCAGATCCAAGGAATCCGCGCGGAGCTCCGAAAGTGTATGCTTATGAAGTTGTTCGCCCTCCAGAGCGAGAGCCCTTGAGGGGAACCTTCACAGGGCTGCGGGCGCAGTTGACGTTCAGCAGCACGTACTTGAGGCCCTCCCAGCTGCAGTCGGAGAGCACCACGTGGCTAGCCCCGAGCAGAGACGCGAGAATGCCGCAGGCAGAGGAAGAAACAGACGACATGCACACAAACTTTCGACAAGTCCACGCTGATTTCTTGGATCAGCGCTGGCTTTCCCTGGGGGGGGGTCCGTAAACTCTGAACCAAAACACATTGCAATCTCTTAGCGGGCTAATTATTGCGTCTACTGGCCTTCCGCCTGCGGAGGCGGCCTCGCTGTACTTCCGCCGGCCTCCACCGCCCTTCCGCCAAGGGAGAGATGTCAGCCCCCTCTATCCTCGAAGCCGAGGTCTTTTCTGGAGCGCGCCACCTGGCGCGCTCCGCGCGCCAAAGGGGGGGGGTCCGCACGGATTCCCTGGCGACCTTGGAGCGGGAAGGTCCGCGCGGGCTTCCTGGACATCCTTTCCTGGCGCGCGGAGCGCTCCAGGTGGTGGCGCAGGAGACACCGCCAGGAGGGGGGGCCAGCGCCGATACAAGAAATCAGAGCGGACCTTTCGAACGTTTGTGCTCATGCCGACTTTTCCTCCTCGAGCAGAGGCCGACCCCACAGCCCAGCTCCAGCACGCGCCTCTCCTCGACCAGCTCACGCTCTGCCAAGAGGGCCCGCGCGAGGATCAGCGCGCCGCGCCACACCTTCGTGGCAATTGCGGCGTGAGGGTCTGTCGTCAGGCAGACCGCGTGGCTGCCAAAGACATAGCACGCGGGCAACGGGAGCGCGACTCGATCACCTGGACCCGCATGAGAACGGAAGTCCCCCTCCGGCTCTGGAAAGAGCGCAGGACAATCCCACTCGGCGCCGTCGTTCGTGGAGTCCGACGTTGCCGATGCCATGTGAAAGCGCTGCGCTAATGGGTTGTGCGGCTTGGGATGCCAGCGCAGAGAGCCGAAGACTTCACCTCAGCACAGATCCCAGGCCTCCGATGCCTTGATGTTTGTTTCAACACAGGGGGGCTGGCTCTCTCGACCTCGACCCCTTCCCCGGGGCAGTTTTGGGGTCCGTGGTCGTTTCTGGTTGTCCTGGGGATTAGAAACCGCACCCGAAGGTGGAAAGTTGCAGACAAACTCCGCCTTTTCTTTCAAAACGTCGGAGGCCGTGGTTCACAAATTGCTAAAATCAAAGCTGCTTCGAGCCGCATTCGCATATCAGCGGTGAGTGGCTGGGACGGCGCCGGGCACAGGTCAGGAGGGAGAAGGAGAGAGGCAAATTGCAGCTGCGGCTATCTTCGACCTGCGGGGCTGTTCCTTACAATTTGCCTCGTCCCGCGGAGCTTTTGCCGTCCACGAGCTCTGCAGAAGGCACCGCCGCAGCAACGAGCGGAGTTGGAACATTGTGTCAACCACGGTGGGGCAACGCTGACCGCCTGCCCGCAGACGCCAACTAGCTGGCCAGCAGGGAGAAGGAAGGCGGAGGCGAAGGGTGAGACCGCTCGGGCATGTGAGCCGCAGCCCCCTGTTGGAGGCAACCAAGCCTAAATGGGTTGTCCTCGTAGCCCGCGCCCCCCGAAGGCGCGTTCTCCAGGGGATGCCACCGGCCACCTTTCCTGCCCCCCAACCGCTGCAGGATTTAGCGCGATAAGTCTTGCAACAAGACAAGCCTGGGACATGTTGTAATAGGAAGACGAGATCTGTAAAAGAGGCACGCGGCACTTGTGCGCCCATGCTCAAAAACAACGGGGGGGCACCGATGGCGTTGCCACAGCTTTCGGTTGGAGTAAAATTTTCGAAGCATCCTCGTGGGCATGGAGTACGAAATTAGAGCAAAGTTGGAGCACTACTTTGGGAACTCCAGGAGAGCACATTCTAGCAGCTATGTGTAACACTACTGCATGCCATTGCGTGAATGAAACTGTCCTTCTACAATGATCGAGGCAAACACCCGGACCGACAAGTAAACACAAAATCGTGCTCGAACTATTTTGCTCCCAGCGAAGCCTTGCTCGATGCCTTACGGGCATTATGGGGCCAAACTGAAGTCGTAACGCCTGGAATGTGGGATGGGATTGGGCGTGGAGCGCTTGCTGTGTAGTCAAGGCATGATTCGATCACTGTTGCATTCCAGTGTATGGTATCATCATCGATTCTGCCCCACGGCCTTGAATGAAATGCTGGTATGTTCTGTCCTCGACAAGATATGACGTCGTGGCGACAACCATGTTGGATACGTCACCCAATGTTGCACTTTCCCCGGACGTCGTCTCTACAGTTCGCTCAAATCCTACAACGATTGGGTAGCATTTCGTGTGCACAATTTTCCTCTTATTTTTCATCGCGTGATCTTACGCTGGTGCGCACCATGCGTTCCATAAGACGCCGTCAACTGGATGCAATGCTGAGTCGTCAATTCTGTTCTGCCGAAAAACGTTCTATGCTAAACTCTCTGATGGTATGTGTTGTATAATTCTCGACGGGCCAGCGGGGCGTCGTGACGCCTGTCAAGTATGATAGTTTCTCAATTCTGGTCGGGTCTGTTCTTTTAGTACAGCATCGCTTCCATACAACTACTTTACATCACTTTCGGTTTGCAAAATTTGCCGCCGCCGTTCTCCCAATACCTTGTGTAATGCTCTGTTGTGTACCAATACGTCGCGTTCCTTTATGTACTTTTACCACTTGTGCTATTCGGACAAACAAAATTGAGCATTGACCGCATTTTGTTGGTATGACCTCTCTTGTTTTGTTACATCCGATGATGTTACACCAGGTTCTGCACTGAGTTGATTCTGCTATCTTCGATACGATGGCACTCAACTCTGTGATATCAGGCCCTGCTCTGTTATGTTATGAGCATGGACTCTTCTACTCTGTTATGTTCTTTGATGTGATGGCCCCCACTTGGATCCCTTCGAGATCTGTCGGGCTCCTGGGGATCTGGCATCCGCAATATCTGGCGGTTCACGAATTGATGCCCCACGAAATCCCTGGTGGAATGCGGAGTTGGTGGCCGCAAAATGTGGCGTCCAACAAAAGTTGTCCCGCGGGATCCCCCAAAGCCCTGGGATTCTAGCGGCCTCGGTATACAGGGTCTACGGATCGGGAGGTCTGTCCCTAAACTCTACTAGCCCAACCTGCCAGGTGGCGAACAACTATGCGTAACACCATTGGCACCCACTGTGTTTTTGAAGGTGTTGTTTAATTGTTGGGCACCCCTGCATTGTTGTTGAGCCTGCCGTTGCGATCTGCGTGAGGGATGCGCCCGCTGTGCTAAATTATGAGGGTGTTCCTAGCGAAACGGCACGTCAGTTCGCGACGGCTTCACCAATGACCGCCTCTGAGCTCGACTCCCTCGGAGAGTGGCGTATGATAATACACATGTTGTCTGTATATATATACACACGCACACATACATACTCGCGCTTCGCGCGCGCATAGGTTCTAGCCAGGCCCAGCTCTTGACAAGC